GATGGTCGATTAAACCGTTTAATTTTGGGCTGCGTGCGGCTCATGCGCAAAACACATGCGAGCGGCTGTGAGTGACGGTGACGGTATATAAATGCATGATCATTCATTCATAATTACAATTTAAGCTTTTAATGGGATTTAAACTTCAAAAGTACATTAAAATAGAAACAACACAAAGTTCTTCAACATGGAATGCAATAGAAATGTAGTAACAGTCATTTCCCCAGATAATTCTTTCATATTTGAAAGTAAGAGATGCGAAAACGGTGATAAAAAGTGAATGACAATAAAATAAACCTGCGAAATTAGAGGGTTAGACGGTGAGGATTTAGGAAAAGAAACAATGCCTAAATATTATTGAATTTGTGGAAATTCGTGACCAAGAACAAAGCCGCGTGAATGTAGGCTATATGGGCTCGAACGGCATCCAAAAGCATGGTCGCGATGTAAGATTTTCCAGCTAACCAATTATTCCTCTAATAAACAAAGCTTTTATACCACACTTTTCATAATCAGAGCTTATAATTTGTAAATAAATAATTGCTGGATGCGCTGTGGCCGACATTGACAATACGTTTTCCCGGAGCATTCAATTGTCACTAAACGGTGATGCCACAACTAAGAGCATCGTTCACAAGTTTCTGTAGGACCTAACTAGCCTAGGGCACAGGTTTTCAAGCCCTGGGACAAGATGGGATGCTTTAAGGAAAATGTATAGCCTATGTAAGTAATAGACCTAAAATAACAATTTGTTTTCATTACAAAAAAAAAGCGAAATATATCTGACTTAAATAATTAAGCTAACAGATTTAAAACAGAAGTGTGGCGCGGCGCTCCATAAACAAGTTCACGGAAAGGAAAGGATGACAACGCGCATTCTGTTTGTTTGCTTTATTTTGCAAAAGCACAAATCTTGTTTTTATTGTGAGTGTGCAAAAATAAAAGTAAACACTTTTGCGGATTATATCTTATGCCTACTTCAAAAAATGTAGTTTTTTTATGTTTCAGCTGTTCGATCGCGCTGGCGCCTTGCGCGTACACACCCCACATATTCTAGCAATTCAAACTTACTTCGCAGTCTGTTCATTATCAAAATAAAATACAGTCAACCAAACATATAAAAGTATAATTTAAACGACGATCGATCATGGAAATGATCGAAAATTTACATCCCTAATTTGAATAAAATATGTAAAGCATTCTTGAGGGGAAAACAACAACAACATGAAAGCAGTTTTTTTTTTTTCTTCTATTTAAAATATTTTTTCTTTATCGTGGAAACAATCAGAAATGTCATTGAACCTAGTACTTTTTGATCAAATATTATTAAAGGGATAGTTCACCTGAAAATGTAAATTACCCCATGATACCCGACTTTATTCTTTCAGACAAATACAGTCGAAGTTATATAAAAAAAAAATGTCCTGGCTCTTCCAAGCTTTATATTGGCAGAGAATTGAGGTCAAGATTTTGAAGGTCAAAAAAGTGCATCCATCCATCATAAAAGTTCTCCACACGGCTCCAGGGGGTTAACGAAGGCCTTTTGAAGTAAAGCGATGTATAAGAAAAAAAGATTCATATTTAAAACTTTATAAACTATAATCTCTAGCTTCTGTTAACTGTTGTACGTGGGTTCACGAAAGAGAGGCATTCCAGTGGATGACGTAGGTGTAGCGTAAGCTCCGGTGAGAATATGCTAATTTCACGAAAACAGAGTTTTGTTTACATCAAATGAAAAGCAGTCTCCTTACAAATCCTCGTCATTTTGTACTTCTAATTGACGACCGGTGTTTTGTTTTGCTCTCTCCTCTGCGCTTCCGTGTTTGTCACTTCTCATTGGAGCTTACGCTTTGAGTGAGTGACGTGACATGTGGCCAAGTATGGTGACCCATACTCTGAATTAGTGCTCTGCATTTATCCCATACTCGGAATTAGTGCATCCAAAGTGCACACACACACCGTGAACACACACCCGGAGCAGTGGGCAGCCATTTATGCTGCGACGCCCGGAGAGCAGTTGGGGGTTCGGTGCCTTGCTCAAGGGCACCTCAGTCCTGGTATTGAAGATGGAGAGAGCACTGTACATTCACTCCCCCCCCAACAATCCCTGCTGGTACGAGACTCGAACCCGCAACCTTTGGGTTACGAGTCCGACTCTCTATTAGGCCACGACTTTGCCTACATCATTCCCTGGAACACCGTGAACATGTGTATGACAGGTAGCAGAAGCTAGCGATTACAGTTTATAAAGTTTTAAGTATAATTATTTTTCAAAAATAAATCTTGGGGTAATTTAAATTTTTGTGTCAACTATCCCATTGTAGCATTTTGTTGATTTTAGTTTATTTTAATTGATTTATTTTTATTAAAGCTAAATATGTGGTCAAATTTGCCCTTTTTTCTCCCACAGGAGGGAATCCGCTCCTATTTCGGAACTCCGACATGGCAGACTATTGGTGTTTTCCTGGCCGGGGTGCTCACCACAGTAGTGGTGATCCGCAAAATGTGAAAAGACTGGCAGGAAGGTGGAGAGCAAGAGAAGAAAGAGTTGAGACAACGAACCGAGTGAAACAGACCAGCAAAAGAGAACAGAAAAGATGAGGGGGAAGAGGAAGGGATCTGGAGTAGAGATACAGAGAAAAAGACAAATAAGAGAGTTGAAAACGGCCTCAACTAATCAAAAGAGAGAGAGAGAGGAGGAGGAGTAGGAAGGTGGAGAGCAAGAGAAGAAAGAGTTGAGACAACGAACCGAGTGAAACAGACCAGCAAAAGAGAACAGAAAAGATGAGGGGGAAGAGGAAGGGATCTGGAGTAGAGATACAGAGAAAAAGACAAAGAGAGTTGAAAACGGCCTCAACTAATCAAAAGAGAGAGAGAGAGGAGGAGGAGGAGGAAAGAGTGAGAGTCAAGCATGATGCAGATGTCTCGAGCCACTCTTGTTACTTCTGAGCTTGTGCTCTTTCTCATCTACAACTTTAAACCTTGATAACATTTGCACTGAAAATCAGAGATTAATGCGTAAGAGTTCAGGTTTAGGCTTGATTTTAGCTATTTATTTTTAGTTTGGGCTTATGGGTGTCTAGGTTGTATACAGGACTGTATTGGTATTTGATTTAATCTGTTGAAATTGTCTCAATGCAGAAATTTCTCATATTAAGTTAAGTTCTCATATTATGTTATTTTTATTTTTTTGTCCTACTGTCAAAATTACATGCGGTAAATAGTTATAATAGCTTATAAATAGAATTATTATTATTAATAGGCTATATTATTATTATTATGATAAAAGCATAATTGTATCTGTCTTTTTTTAGCGCACTGTCATCTGAAAGAGTAGGAATGGGCTCAGACTGTATTCTGCTGATATTTTAATTTCCTATCTCTTCCTCATCCTCCTCCTCTTTTTTTCCACTGTCTCCTCTAGTTCTTCACGGTAGGGGCTACACAATGTCTGTAAAGTTGATTGTACTTGAAGGTTTAGCCTCTTAAGAGTTCATGAAATGTTTGCAACCGAATTTGAGAAGTGCAGCCAACCAATCAGCACTCTGGTTCTGGTATGTGGGCGTGTCTTTGTCAGCGAGCCCCTCCTACGACAGGAATAGACAATACTAGTGACTCTTAAATGCAGTGAACTTCTCTGAGCCATGATGATCGTGTTTTTTACAGAACCAAATATTTTCCTTTTCAAATTCCTTTTGGATTCGACAATCCAAAGACTTCAGATGCAGGTGCAGATTCTTTGACGAAAAGCAGTTCGCTTGGCTTGAGCTGGTGCAAACATTCGGTCTTGCAGGCCCATTAGTTGAGCTTGTCCTCTCAGCAAGGTCTTCTCATTACTGTATTTTTAAGATGGTTAGGCAGACCCACAATCCCACTTTTACATGCAATTGTTCTTTTTTATATATACCTGTTTCTTTATCTTTTGGTTGTTTGGGTAGTTTCATATTCTTTTATTTTTGGTTCTTTCGTTGACAGTGCCTTGGCCTTTTTATGATATTAGCCACCACTTTTTCCATCTTTTTCAACATCTTTGCAAACTGGTATAAAATTGTGCACCCTAAGGCAGTCTGTCTGCTGTGTGAGCCCATGAGTTTGTTTTGTAAGCCGTAAAATGAAACAATAAATTGTTTTTATGGATTTCAATATAAATGTGTGGTGTGTGTGTTTTGATTTTGGTAGAGAAAGAGTTACTCTAAAATTGTCACATTTTAAAATAACAGTAAAGGATCAAAACTAGGAAATGAACATACAGGTATTATGTAGTAAATGTTAAAAACTATATCTTTAAGTAGCTCAGCTTCATCTGGGTTTCTTTTAGACAGCTTCATTAGATGCATCCTGGGATGGTTCTAACAGTTTTAAAGAAGTTCACATGTATGCTAGACACTTGATAGCCGGTTTTCCTTTACTGACCAATTCATGCTTTCAAAAATTCTCTCATTGTCTGGAAAATCAGTTGTCTGAAAAACTAATTGGAAGCATTTAAGCATCAGCTTTTAGATGAAAACGTCTTTAAAATCACGAGAAACGAATTCAGCTTTTTGTTCAAACTTCCGATTTGTGTTATTGTTAACTAAAATAAAGCCGAAACAATGTAAACATTAGATGAAAATGTAAATAACTTAAAACAAAAATGAGAAATGTTGCCATGACAACTAAGTTTAGGTCACTGCTCTATGTAAATTATAGGTTAGTTGTTTAATTGAAATAGTAACATTTCTTACACAAAAACTGAAATAAAAATAAAGCTAAATATATATATATATATTTTAAATCAACCTAATAAAAATGACAAAGCACATAAAATTACCAAAACCTTAACTAAACTTAAAATGAAGCTCAAAATATAAAAATTTAAAGCAGCAGTAATAAATAGTACTAAAATTACATTGATGTAATGTGTTTTTTCAGCTTACTAGTTTTACTAGTTTCAAATGATTAATGCAATAAGATCATCAGTGTAATATTTACAAACACAACAATACTCGACATCTCATTAATCACAGACAATTGGGACAACTGCGGGGGAAAAAAAGAAGTATTTTTATTGAAAGGCTCGAAAATACAGTTCTTAGAAAGGAGATCGGTGATTATTTCAAATTTTGATGTACATCTTAATGTCCCACAGGTAAACCGTACTGACATAGAAAACTAACTCATAAGAGCTCAAGGTTTAAGGCATATACTCGATCGACTAACTTGCCATTAATCATGAAATGACTCTTTGAAGGCTCACGATGATCTTCGCAACACAGCGCAACAAAAGACCTACATAGTTAAAACAACTAAATACTGAGAATGTAAATCAATAATATGACAATGGCTCAAAAGTTTGGCCGACGAGAGGCCCAAATGAGATTCACGAATACTAATTCAATGCACAGGTACTTTGACTGGATCAGAAAGCTTGACAGAAACAGATGGAGATGGAGAGATCAGTCTCTAGTCTCCAGCACCCCCTCTCTGATCCTCCAGCTCCATGGCAGTTTGCAGTCGGGGCCGAGGGTGCAGCAGGGGTTGTGTCCATACTGATGATAGTGGCTGGAGTCAGGGGCCGGGACGCAGCGCAAAAACAGGCTGTTCTCTAGGACCTCTTTGTCAAGGGGCACCAAGCAACCATCCTCTGTTTGCAGACTGAACACGTTCTCTGAGATCTACACGAGAGAGAAGATTTGAACCTCTAGCAAACAAAGAGTAATGCAAATAAAACGTGTTCTATACACACACACACAGTTTACCTGATCGCTGATTCCTCTTGCAACATGGCCTACTTTCACCCCGGGCGTCTCCCGAATGTGAAAGCATTTCCCGTCAAAGTCCCTAATATAAACATCCACCCCTGAAGAAACGAAGCACAGATGTGAGCATGGCACAAATAACCCTGATAAATGTCATCTAAAAATATATCATACCAACAGCATGAGTGAATGAGAGTTCTTGTAGCTTAACTGTGTCAATATGCGACAGATTTATAAACACTGGTCTATGAAAAAATATACATGCTTAAATATGGGATATGTCTCTAGACTTGCTGTTTTTGATCTTATTAATAAAACTGCTCTTGATTTAATTGAATGTTTCCTTATTACTGACTATAAATAAGTAATTACTTGGAAAAACCTGAATAATTAACCTTTACCGCACAATATTTTCTTTACTATACTGTTATGTCTTAGGAAGTTTCTATTCAAAGAATCCTGGAAAATTTATAATGGTTTGTTTCCACCAAAATATTAGGCAGGACAACTGATAATAAAATCAGTATATTAGAATGGCTTCTGAAGGATCATGTGACACTGAAGACTGGATTAATGATGCTGAAAATACAGCTTTGCATCACACAAATTTATTGCATTTTAAAATATATTCAAATAGAAAAGAGTTATTTTAAATCATAATAATATTTCACAATTTTGCTGCTTTTACTGTATTTTTGATCAAATAAATGCATCCTTGATGAGCATAGGAGGCTTTAAAAAAGCATTTTAAAAACGCTTACGGACCCCAAACTTTTGAACGGTAGTGTATATGCCATAGTTCATGTGCATTTCAAATTTAAATAGCATAATGTTTTTTTTTCCTGGATATCGAGTATCACAAAATTCAACCAATGTTGGTACGGATTGCTAACAGTTTGGTATCGTGCCAACTCTTTGGTCATGTAATGATGCTTTGCATTTCTCTAAATTAATCAGGAGTTGTTCACACACCGTCAAAGCAGCGGGGCGGGGGTTGATGTTTGGGGGCGAGCCAGTCCCTGCTGAAGCTCTGGCCATCTTGTTGGCTGTTGTAAGAAAACACGCCTGAGCTAAGGTCATCACCAGGACCGACTGACCAACGCCCTGAATCCTGGAAGGAAAAAAAACCCCCTTTGAATTTCAAATAAGTTATGATTGGTTAAACTGAGATGCTTTACTAGCAAACAACAGGTGATGGTCGTCAGGAAGTTAAACGTCACTCTTAATATCCTTCTAATGACATGTATCAGGTTGTGGGGAATTACAGGCTGCCTCATATTCAGCATTCTGAACTTGATGCTTGGGTTTGTTTACCTTCTTGTCCCAGTACTCTCTAGGGGAAAAGCAGTCACTACTGAGACAAGAGAGCCACTGCTCCTGCAGCTCAGCAGAATGAGGATGGGAAAGACTGCTCACGTAGAAATCTGCAGAGAGAGCGAGACAAGTGTTATATCATGCAAAGCTGCAGTTCAGATGGCTGTAATCGCAAGAAAGGATATTGAGATTCCATCCTCATATTTTTGATGCTAATTTGGGGATATGGGATAGAAGAAATGCTAAATGACACCAAAACGCGAATAAAATATACAAAACGTATACGTTTGCTTGAGGTGGATACAATTGTATTTGTTAAGAATACATGTGCATAAACTACTACACGAACACATGTACCAAATAAAAGGCTGCAATCTCTTGAATAATTCACATCTAAAAAATTGTTTATTCTATATTATCATTCAAAAGTTTGGGGTTGGTACAATTTATTTTTAAAAGGAGTCTCTTATGCTCTCTATGGCTGTAGGTATTTGATCAAAAATAAAAATAAAAATTTTCTGTTTGAATATACTTTAAAATATACTTTATTGCTGTGATGGCAAAGCTGAATTTTTACTCCAGTCACGTGATCCTTCAGAAATCATTCTAATTTGCTGCAAATATTTCTTATTATTATCAATGTAAAAAATTGTTGTGCTGCTTAATATTTTAGTGGAAAGTGATGTTTACAGATCTTTTCAGTGTTATTTTGGAACACTTTTGATCCATTCTTGCTGAACAAAAGTGGCTTCAAATTCATTTTTCCCAGAAGTGACAAAGGAAACAATTTGAAAATTGTTTCTACGATTTTTTACATAAATTAAATATAGCTACTATGAGTCTGAAGAGCAGCGTAAAGCTGGCCGCTATGAATATGACGTGATCAGGTGGTGGCGGCGGCTCACCTTTCCACAGCTCTTTTTCCGGCACTGTTGGTTCTGGCTCGGTCTTACTGATGATCTGTGGCTCAGGTGAAGTGCTTTGAATGTGGAGAAGTGACTTCGGAGGAGAGTGGTCATCGTTTCTTGTCTCCTCTGTCCGTTTCCACTGTTTTACCTTGTCTGGCTTGTCATGACGTTCCTCATCACCTGCTCTCCTCTTGTGCTCTGAGCTCATCCACTGCTGCTCAGAGTTATCAGAGGACGTGGTGTGGTGGGATGTGGTGGGTGTGGCCGAATGGGCGGAGTCTGGATTCTCTGGCTTCCCCAGTGGCTTCTGATAGGTTCCTCCTCTCGCGGAGCTGTGAAGTCCCCCCACTGCAAATAAATGTATGACTTTTTAATTGTGTAACATTTAATACACAGTCATTTGTATGTGTTTCATTGTTGTTTACTCTTACCTTCTTTAAGTGCTTTAGCAGTTTTAACAAAGAGTTCTTTGGCAGAGGCTCGTTTGTTTGGATCTTTCTGCAGTCCTGATCTTATGACATCTGCTGTATTGGAGCTGCAGTCACGTGGGATTTCCCTCACTGGCGGAGGCTCTTCTGCTATCTGTCAGCATGCAAACACAAACAATACTTTGTAAGTGACTGGTCGATGCAAATCATGTAGTTTTCACAAATCTCTAATTAAAATGAAATGTGACTTTAAAAGTGGGAGGGGCTTATTTAAATGGTTTCCAATCGTAGCTAACCTTGAGGTATAGTGGGCGGGAATAGTAGCGGGTCCACGGATGACAGCCGTTCAGCATGTGCAGAAGCACACAGCAGCTGCTCCAGATGTCTGCTTTTGAAGAGCGTGGCTCATTGAGCACCACCTCGGGTGCCATATGAGTTTCTGTGCCTTTCAGACCTAAACACATACAAAAAAAAAAAAGAAGAGTTGATTCATTTATGTACGTGTCTATGTTCACTTGAAATATATTTGAGGCTATAATGAAATGTACTTACTCTTACAATAACTAAGCCCTTGTTTGTCCAATCTCTCTGAGTAGCCAAAGTCACACAGGAATACATCTTTCCCATCTTCTGACAGCAAGATATTATCCGCTGAAAATAAAGTGAGCTAAAATGTAAATTACTGTATTTTTAAGAATATAAATCAACAGGAAACTGAAATATGAAGAAATCCACAATGTGATGTACACTACCATTCAAAAGTTTGGGGTCAGTAAGATTTTTTTAATAAACGAAATGAATACTTTTATTCAGCAAGGATGCATTAATTTGATCAAAACTGACAGTAAAGACATTTATAATGCTACAAAATATTTCTATTTCAAATAAATGCAGTTCTTTCTATTCATCAAAGGATCCTGAGAAAACATTATCATGGTTTTAACAAAAAATATAAAACAGCACAACTGTTTTCAACATTGATAATAATAACAAATGTTTCTGGAGCACCAAAAGAGCATATTAAAATGATTTTGTGACACTGAAGACTGGTGAAAATTCACCATCACTGGAAGAAATTACAGTTAGTCATAGAAAACAGTTGTTTTAAGTTGTAATAATATTTCACAATATTACTGTTTTACTGTATTTTTGATCAAATAGGCCTAAATGCAGCCTTGGTGAGCATAAAACAATTCTTTTTAAATACATTCAAAAACTCTTACCAACCCCAAACATTTTCTCCCCTTTCAAAACATCACAAACACCCATTTTTGAGGTTTTCTGATTGGGAAATGAAGGCTTAAGTTCCAGACCATCTTCAAGAGCATCTTGATGCATCAAAATGATAGTGCTTCTGCTTCAAACTGATCATAATTTGCTTCTATTTCTGTAACCTTCAGTACACTGACATTACACTTGATTAAATTATTTCATTAACTATTGGTTAGATTTTAGAATGGGTGCAGTACCTATATATACAGTAGCCAAAACTATAGCTATCTGACTACTAGTTTACATTAACTAGTAACCCGTACAAGTTTCATTGCATCTATTTTCACAATGCAATACTGTTGAGTCATGCTCAATTAGATTAGCAATGTGTATTTAGAAAATAAGTATGTTTGCCAGTGGGCACATCTCTTCTCATAAGTCTCTGCTCTAGAACTGGCGACTGGACGGTTCCAGGAAAAGTTCAAATTGGAGTGTGTGAGACTTTCGGTTTCTAAATTGCAAACCACAGCTTGTTGACTGAAGAAAAAAAAAAAGTCTAGATTAAATGACTGGTAATCAGACTATTTGGACAGCAGATGGCGCTGTAGATGTCAGAGTAGAAAGGTTTGTTTTACTGCTTGCTTGAAATGAACTGCCGTTTATCTATTTGAATGGCTGATAAAGACATAAAGCTGCTCATTTAATCTCCTGTGTCCATCTGCATTATATACGGTCAGTTCTTCAGTCAGTGTCTAGTTTCTTTCTCTTGATCTCTCAGTCTCTTCTCCCTCCCCCCTCATCTGAACCACATGAGTCATGCTGTGGGAAATTCCCAGCCCTGGGTTGCTCACATTGTACTCTGATCTCCTGTCTCTATCTCCCCACAGGTGCTGTTTGTCTCACCCTATCCCCCGGAAAAACAACTAAACCCAGCCACAAGAGACAGCATTAGAATCAACTTAAATTCCTCAACAGCAAATCTATAGTTCTTTAAATTGCTTATGGCTTTACGTAACACGTTTGTTTAAAAAAATGCTTAGTGTTTTCTGTGGTAACTTTGAAAAGAACCAATTCATGAGGCAATTGTATTGCACATATATTACTTTTAGAGCTCAGGAGGTATGGAGACCATCAGTTACAGTAAACGTCAATGTTATTTTTGTGTTTTTACACTATTATAGTATTTTCTTTCATAGTATGAATTCGTTTTTATATATATATATATATATATATATATATATATTCAGTTTTCATTTTAAGTTTTAGTAATAGTGTTATGTGCTTTTGTCAAAGTTATTTGTATTTTTTTATATTTCTACTTTTCAGTTTTAGTCGTTTCATTATTTTGATATCGTGGCATATCTGAATATACATGTGGAAATGTGAGAGGGTCATTTTATTTCACAAAAAAAGTCTCAATTTCTTCCACATTTAATCTGAATTGCTGTTTAGAAGAAACAATTGCGATATTAAGGACATCTCACTTGTGATTTTTCATTTCTCTATGTGGTTTCCAAAGAACTGTGATCCCAAATAAGGAAGTGCAAAAAAAAAACCGCATGTCAACTTTCCACAGAAATAACATGTGGAGACGTTAAATGTCAATATCATGTCATCTTTCCACATAAGTGAAATAGAGACAGTCTGGATTAGTGAAGAAAGGACAGAAAAATGCAAAATGCTCATGCTTTTGACTTTTTAAGACTCCACGTAGCTTCCACCCCTCTCAGCCAATCAAATGGTTCAGTGGCATTTTTAACTATCCAGCCCACATTCTGGACGCACCTTTGATGTCTAGATGAAGGATGCGCTTCCTATGCAGGTAGTTTAGCGCCCCCAATACTTGCTGAAGGTAGTGCAGGGACAGATCCTCTGGCAGGCGGCCTCGTTCCTCCACCAGCTGTCCTAGAGAACCTAAAGAGAGTGCAAAGTCATCACACATCTCCATCTCTCCAGAAAACACTTCCTTTGAGCAAAACACCAGATATGTCAAATAAGGAACTGAGAAACAGATGAAGGAATAAAGAGGCTGTTTGTTGTGTCTACAAACGTGCTTCTGAGCACTTACTGGATTTAAGGTCCATGAAGAGGATGATGGAAGGACCTTCACGCACCACTCCAAAGAGTTCCACCACCTGAGGAGACTGCAGGGCACTCCACGAGCCCACCTCCTCACTGCTGAAACTCACCAACGGCACCTGAAAACACATACACATGCATCTACGGATCAACAGACAGTAACTTGCATTTGAATGCCAGCAGTGCCATCTGCCAGAATAATAAGATGCACACAAAAGCAGGGCACAAATACCTTTTTGGCGGCACACATGAAGCCGGTGCCTTTGTCTTTGATGCTGTAGACCTCTCCGAAGGAGCCCTGCTTGAGAAATCTACAGCGTTCATATTCCCGTCCCTCTCTGTACTCATAATGTACTGGTTGTAGCCCCTAAAAAAAGGGATGCGAGATGTTGATGTCAAATGATGTTATGGATGTGTATTGGCCAATACCGTTATCCAGCCATGTTACAATACACAATATAGTGACAAATATAAAAAGCTACTGTGTACATGCATTACCCATTTAGACTACCTTTTCCCTCATTTTGCATACTGTACATAACAATGTATACCTAATTCCGCTTTCATTTTTTTTTTTTTTAGACCAAAAAAAAGCATAGAATTTTTAAATCTGACACTTAAAATCTGGTTATCTGTGTGTGCACGTAACTACACAACAAAAGTTTCAAAAGTTTGGGGTCTATGAGATTTTTTTAGTATTTCTAATAGATGTCTCTTATACTCCCCAAGGCTGCATTTATTTGTTCAAAAATATTGGGGGGAAAAAACTGTAATATTGTTAACTGGCACTTTTGATCAATTTAATGCATCCTTGCTGAATAAAAGTATTAATTCCTTTTGAAAAAAAATATTACTAAGTTTTGAATTGTAGTATATATCTAAATTCTGTGTATTTGTTTATAAAAATAATAAAAGTTTCATATCTTGAAAAAGTAGGACAACTTAATAATGTCACTTAGACATGTGCAGCAAATATTCAGCCATCTTTCATAATGTACCTTATAATGTTGTAATGGCTAAATAAATTACTTTGGCTTATTTTAGAGTTTTGTTTTAAGATTTTTCAACAAATTATGCTACCTACCATGTTTATCGGTAAAGGCCATAATTTCAATACTGATGCAGCTCCACACAATCACTGAAAATGTTTAATTTCAAAGCACATGACAAGCACAGTAAGTGTGTGAAGACGGTTTTTTGTACTGTTTGCTTATTGCAAGGAAACTCCCTAAGCAGAACTAGGCTGGTGAGGTAAACATGAAACCCTGCTGAACACAAGAAAAACAGGAAATCAAAACCGCAAGTCAATTTCTGGCTGTGTACACATGCATGCATGTGTTTCTCACTCTCTCTCTCTCTTCCTCTCTGTATTAGTAAGCCTATGTTGTTTTTATCTGTATTGTCTTTCTAGAGGATCGGGTTGTGTGTGCCTGTATGACTTATAGGTTGTGTACTTGTATGTCAATTTGTATCTTTGCGTGTAAGAGAACACATCTATGCATCACGCTCTTTTGGTACGAGTTCATACATGTGTCAATTTCAACATGCTTCAACGTCATATGTTTTAAATGCCATTTCAAATCACCTCTTTGAACAGGATCCCTTCATTCTTGTCGCTCTCCTCTCTCTCGTCCTCATCTCTCTCCCTCTCCTCTCTCAGCACATCTTTGACAAAGCCGTATGCAAAGCAGCGATCTTCGCTTGTTACAAAGTTCCTCAGGGCTGTAACAGCCAGAGGGCATTCAGTCTCACTTCTCAGGGGAGAATTCAGCTCCTCGCTCTCTTGGCCGTAGCTCTGGCAGCAGGTGAGTCTGGGTAAGGAGGTCCGCCGGGACTCCCACGGATAAGAGTATGACGGGCCCTCTGTTTCCTGCACAGACACCCTCTCTGTGCTGAGGCCACTGCTGCTGTATGTAGTACTACTGTTGTTGCTGCTGCTGATGCACACTGGATCTCTAACCTGAAACAACAGGACACCACAAAGTTGATTGGACTATTAGAGAGAAAGCCACTTGAAAAGCACTGCACAAAATCAATGTCAGTAAAAATTCCATTTGGACCTGTAAATGTGTCACTTATATCAAGTGCTTCAGGCCTCTAGGGAGAGCTAAAGACAAGCTTTGTTTGACTCGATAGTTAGCTAATCACTGAATTCCCTCTGAGACATTATAAAAACACAGCCGAGACTAGAGTCTAGTTTTAAATCAACAGGTAATCTTTATATATATTCAGTTGGAAAACATAGTGTGCGTCCAACCTAGGTAACACTTTTAGACACCAGCAAAACTACGCTGATAAGATACAGCGAAAACCTAAGGCTGTTTCACATGCATCCCTCATGTATTACGTAATGCCAGGATGCACTGTGATAAGATCAGTGAAAATTTGCAAGTGGTAAATAACCATTTATATATTTACTACTGAACAGTATCAACAGAACTTGTGCCGTTATATTAGAAATGCACTTATTCAGTCAATATTAGGTTGCGCTTTGTGCTTATTAGTTTCAATCTGTTATCTTAGCAACATGCTAATGTCAGATACTGCTGGATTCAACTGCTTAGTTCATTAACAGAGTTAAGGCCTGTTCACACTAAGAGCAATAACTATAATGTGAAATGTATTAGCGTCTGCACCAATTTGGCTGACAATGTTTTTAACTGTTCATCAGCTGGAAAAAAAATTCTAAAAGTGATTCCAATTATACTGTTCCTCCATCGTTATCATTATAGCTGTGGTGTGGACTTTCTTACAGAATTAGAATGATTATTAAAATGTTACAACTATAGTTATCTTAATGCCCTTGTTAAGTCTGTCTGTTATTTTCATGTACCAATTTGGACGGGACTAACATCTCCATGTTTATTACAGAGGTGGGAGGGTCTGTTTTGTACATCTGGGGAGATGGTCCTCACTGCAGAACACAAGATCCAGGGGGCGACGTCTGAGATTTTCATGTACCAATTCGTAAATCGAATCGCCTTTTCTGGGTCCAAGCGCTTTATCAGATCCCAAAAGCAAACAGTCCATTCTAATTGTGCTACACTACTACTCAGAGTTAATTTTGACAGACATTTTTGATTTAGTCTTAGTCTTTATCTTGAGATGAAAATGCTTAATAGTCTTAGTCACATTTTAGTCATTTGAGTCTTTCATAGTTTTAGTCGAAGAAAAGTCATTGAATTTTTGTCAACTTTTAGTCATTACTTTTAGTCAAACTGCAGTTACCAACATTTATTTTGGTAGCTATTTTATATGTAGTCTTCAAACAAAAATAGTCATTAATTCTTCTCTCTTTAGACCAAATCAATTAAGCTTACAAGAAATTTGAATCAAGGATTGAATTTGGAAAAACATGAATAAATGACCATTTTCATTTTTGGGTGAACTATCCCTTTAACAGTATAGTGAAAAGGGAGCAACTTTTTTTTTTTTTTTACAAAAATTAAAGTTGTTCATATATAATATATATAATTTTTTTAAATGAAGCAGAATAACACAATAAGACAAATACGAAAGAGATACAAATTAAATTAATTTTTCAGATACAGTAGGTTTAAGAAGGAGCACTTCTATCAGCGCGATTCCACCTATCCCGCCTTCACTAACTTTAAGTTAATAGACAACAAATTGTGACTCCCTGGAAAAGCGGGACGTCTGGTTACCTTATCCCTATCCCTTCGGGTGCTGAGGCCATTGTTTCAGATCGCTAGTTCGCATTTTGGTAGCCTATCCATCCACTGCTGCCACCATACTGAGACTAGATATGCAAACGCCCCTTATCCGATTGCAATCCACTGACAATTCAATCCAATGAGGGTGGGTTTAGGGATCAGGGGGTGGAGACGGGTAGGTTTATGTATATGTAAGGTGGGAGGAGTTGGATCTGGATCCAACCTCGCCCCCTGGATCTTGTGTTCTGCAGTGAGGACCATCTCCCCAGATGTACAAAACAGACCCTCCCACCTCTGTAATAAACACGGAGATGTTAGTCCCGTCCGAATTGGTACATGAAAATCGCAGACGTCAGGTGGTAAGAATCGAAACTCAAATGTAGTTTAGAAAACTAGTCCTGTCCGAATAGGGCTTTAGTCACAGAAAAAATGTTCGTCAACTAATATTTTTCGTCGTCGTCTTCGTTGATGAAATTAACACTACTGATAAATCATGATCCTAACCTTTATCTTCATATGGAAATCTCAGTTGGACAAAGAATGATTTATCTTTTGTGAATTGTTAAAATATTAGTGTCCAGGACAAATGCTTAGCTTACAGATATGCATTAAATTAATTATGCTCATTAACGGCTGTTGAGATAATATTGATTCAGTATCAAAACTGAGTAGAGGCTTGGACCCAGAAACAGAATTCGATACGTCACAACTGAACAAGTGTCATACTTGACATGAACAACGACCCTTTAATGAATATAAAGAGGATTTAGATAGTAAGCATCAAAGCAGCACATTACGTTTTGGAACGAAGCTGTTGAATATATCTTTTATTGAACTCAAACCCATTTGTGTAATGCCCTCTCCTCAGCTCTACGGTAATTACAGTTAATTCAGTCTAACCTGAATGAGAGATGAAGAAAGGCACTCGCCGCTGTCCTGTTCTGGCACTCCAGTGACTCCCACGGACTCACTCACTCGGCTGTCCTTCTCGCCCCGCTTTCGCCGATGTTTCTTATGTCGTTTCTTTCTGGGCCGACTGCGAGAGATGGTTCCAAGAAGCGACTGGGAGGAGATGCTAAAATGCAACCCGTTTTGTGGTGGTAAATAAATGTCAGAAAATAAGTTAGTTGCCGTGATATATTAAGTCCTGATATTAAAAAAGAACATAACGGCACACGCGATTGTGTGACAGTTACATAAGACTTTACCTGCCATTGGGGCAGAACTCCTGTGAATCCTGGGACTCACCTGTAAAAAAGAAAAACAATTTAGCCCAAATGTATATTTGGATAAAACACTGACAAATCAGTGAAATCAAATGAGTTTATCCGTTTCAGTCTCGGTACTTACACTCTGCCTGTGCAATAATGGACTGTTTCTCGGTTCTCTGTGTCCACTCATGGTCGGCAGTTCCACAATACACGGCTGTCCAGATGTTAATCTGATTTGTTTTGTGCCGCTCTCCTCCTTTGCTCTCTGTGCGAGAGGCTGGGCCCGAGCTGGGGCAGTTGAGAGCTTTGATGTCCCTTTGGGCCATGTGGGAGAACGGGACAGTGGAGTTCAAGATTCGCGGCATCCTGAAATTCTGCGAAACAAAAAAAAAAAGATCAATAAACCAATTCTGTCTCATTCGACAGAAGTAGCATTGGATGTGTATCACTAAACCTCTCAGTGCTTAAATATGGTCCGTCATTCTCTTTTTGTCTCAAGCACACACACACACAGCCCGATCGTAACCGTTTTGTGGGAAAAAGATCCCACACACCTGGCCTTCACTAACCGGTGCTGGTTATGCTGACTGACAGGGGAGGGTATTTTCTTTCAAATACAAATTCATCAAATCTTCCCTCTAACAATGATCGGTCACAAAGTCTGAACTTTGTACCTGCTAAAGGCAACAGAGGACACTGCTCTCAGTGTTTTCAGTCAACACAAAGACTCTATTCTTCACATTAGCACTTCCTGCTCCTCAAGGTTGATCTGTGGAGCGGGAGGAGCCGCTGAGGGCGAAACATGAGCCTTCTGCTTATCAAAATGAAGGTGGGCGCTGTGCGGCTCACACCACCGCTGCTGTGTTTTGACACTGTTTGACGGGATGATGTTGTACAACCCACGATAAAATAAGCTCACCAGTCTTGAGAACTCATTTTGAAACTGAAAAAGTCCTAATTTAGAACATTATATCAGAGCATTATCTCTGATGAATTACAAAAGTACGTTAGCTTGTTATCATAAACCTAACGTCAGTGACTACTTCTCACTATTTCACTGTGGGTACATGTGGGAGGTAAACGTATCAAAGATCTTTTTTCCTTGTTTGACAGATCTATGATACATTTTCAAATCAAATTCCTCAGGTGTGGTTCCAATTTTTTTCTTCTAGTTCCTCATTGTTTTGAAATACAGTAGTGCTTTTGTTAATGGAATGTAGTATGTATGAGAAATAGCAGTTGAGCCTTGCCTTAAGCATTAAACTTTGGTCTGTATTTTACGTCTTTTGGACATGAATGATGCCACTCAGAATATCTTAAGGTTGGAATACACTACACGACTTTTGCCGTGATTTCTGCCCCGATTTACAGTCTGAAGTAGTTGACGCTAGTCCCCAAAAGTGAGAGCCTGCCTGCAGACTTGAGTTGACAGCATTCACAGAAAATCACATTGTTTATGATAGTCCCAGACTTTATTTTTTTAACTTCAGACTCTGAATCCATCCAGTCAGTGGATATCAAACCTGTTTATGACATTTAGATCCGATTTTAGAACGCATATTGTTTTCACGCATCTAGCAACAAAAGACACGTTTCTGCGTTAAGTTTGTTGGGATCTGAACAATTTTAAAGTCTGGTAGTGTGTGATCCTCAGTCGTTTAGTGATCCCGCTGGCTCTCTGCCATGTTAAGAGCGGCTGCGCTCTGATTGTATAGAGCTGATTTACGGGAAATCCATCTCCATTTCCCCTCCTCCTCTTCGGGCTGCAGTCCGGCTCTCAGTAACTTCACCTGCCTGACAGCCACTCGTTCATTAACTGGATTTCTCTTGTACAAATAGATCCACCTCAAACCCTTCATTTCCATTTGTGTGTGTCTATGTTTTTATAATTTATCATCTTAAAGGGATAGTTCACCAAATTAAAATTCTGTCATCATTTGCTCACCCCCATGTCATTCTAAACCTTTATGACTGATTTTCTTTGTGGACAATAAAAGATATTTTGAGAAACCAATGTTCTTTAAAATATCTTCTTTAATGTTCCACAGAAAAAGTGAAGTCATAGGTTTCAGACTACATGAGGGTGAGTAAATAATGACAGAATATACATTTTTGAGTGAACTATTCCTTCTTTTTACCAAATTCTTTCTTGCAAGAAGGTGGGCATCGCTCAACCAAATATTGACAGATTTTACTGGTAAGCAGTGGCATTTAAAATGTCCAATTTGTATTTTGTTTAGTGCGTGGAAGACCTCATCAAATTGAGAAAGGTCAGATCTTGCTCATCTACTGTAACCTCACAATTTGCTGACGTCAAGTTCCTCGTCACTGGATTTCCATATCAAAGCCTACATCCAAAATGCTGTTGTAATATCCTGCTCAATACTTTTTTACATGTAGTACTAAGAAGTTATCCAAATATAAATATTGCTGATGACAAGATGAAAAGAAGCCATTCTCATAAAATAATAAAATAAAAAATAGCAGATAAAAATGACTGTCCATCGAAACACCTTGCTTGCTTTTATATATATATATATATATAAACTTGTTTGACTGCTTCGCTGAATGGTTTTCAAGTTAGAAATAACTTTGTCAGCTAAAAGGTATGTCAATACAATAAACAACCTCATTTCATTACATCACTATTTTCTCTGAAGGAAATGGAGCGGAAACCTTTTAATGACATTAAACATTTTTCAGAAGTTACACTACCATTCAAAAGTCAGTACATTTTTTTTTTAAATAAGGAAATGAAAAATTCAGCAAGGATGCATTAAAATTTATCAAAAGAGACTAATTATTATGTTACAAAATATTTCTGTTTCAAATTCTGTTCTTTCAAACTTTCTATTCATCAAAGAATCCTGAAAAAATGTGCTACGGTTTTCAGTAAAATATTAAAGGGGTCCTATTATGCTCTTTTACAATGTCTTGATTTTGTTTTGGGGGTGTACTAGAACATGCTCTCATGCTTGGTGGTTCAAAAAACCCATTATTTTTTACATAATTTACATTATTAAAATACCTTTCTCCCCATCATGGCACAAACGGCTTGATTAGTTCCGGCTTTGATGAAGGTCCGCCTTCCGAAAAACGAAATGCTGTGATTGGTTAGCTGTCCCAGTGTGTTGTGATTGGCGAACAGCTTAGACGGTGTTTCAGTACTGCCCCGCCCTCTTGCCAAAGCAGCAAGTTCCGTCTGCTCCAGTTTAGTTAAGGATGGCGTCGATATTGCCATATCAGTTTGAGCCGGATTCAGACCCAGAGAATATTGAACAAGAGGATCGCGCAGAACCTTTGCACACACGGATATTGAGTGGTAACGTTATTGTTGTTGTTGTTGGCTAAATCACGTTTTAAATAGGATGTCAACAACTGCTTAAAGATAACTGCATTTACTATGTACAGATAAGTGCATATGTATTATTTTTATTGTTATTTAATTCTAACATTATAACATGAATTGCAGTGAAACTGTTATACAGTTGAATTTATTTATACCATAGTCCAGTGTTTCCAGGCGGCATATATATGCAAACTCATTCTCTACCAGCAGGAGGCGCTGTTGGAGTGGTAGAGATCAAGGTTTCCCCAGTAACGGCTGTACACAAAGCAGCGCTCCGCTCAAAAAAACACTGCTTATAAAAACGTTTTTATAAATGTAACATACATATTTACATACATAATTATTCAGGTGCATGCAGGGGCGTGTCTAGAGCATTTTAAATGG